CGTAAGTGCAGCGGAAATAAAAGAGAGAAGGCAAAGAACACACCGATGTATACTGGTTTACCACCTCGTAGCTAGTCCAGTTCCCCGAGAGACTCTCTCGAAGCTACCACTACTTCCGTTAAGCTTACGGGTGCTTAACAAACCGTTTACAACTCGAGAACTTGAATCCCACAAGCCTCGACACAACCGCTCGTAGATATGCCCTCTACAAGACTTCACAACCAAGACTTAAGTCACATAAGTCTTGAACAACAAGAAGAACAATCTTCTTCAACCTCTCAACAATATCTCCTAAAAGAGTAGGAATGAGAAAATGTTTAGCTCTAATGGATGACAAGAAACCTCTTTTAAAAATAAATGGTTTCTCTCAAAATGATATAAAGTTGAGGAGGAATTGAATGGAGGATTATAACATCAAAATAGGGGAGTTTAGGAGTGCTTCTTGTTTTCTAAAAATGACCAAGGAAGAGTGTTTAAATATGAGGTGAAAAAATATATCCGTTGGTCTAAGAAAGGGAGCTGTGCTGAAAAGATGCAGCATAAAAATCGATTAATGCAATGTCAGTAATCGATTAATGCAGCCTGCGCAAAATGATAATCGATTAAATCAAAGGTATTAATCGATTAGAATGCTCTGAGTAAACTAATCGATTAACGGGAAGAAAATAATCGATTAGATCAAAGTAGCTCAACCCGAAGTAAAACTCAATTAATCGATTAATCAAGAGAATTTAATCGATTAATCAAAACAAAACTGGGTAAATCGATTAAAGTGAGAATATTAATCGATTAGATTTGAAATGATGCACAAACACGAGGGCCCAAGCTAGTTGCGAGATGAGAAGTAAAAAATGTCTTAAAGCGATTGTTTCAGACAAGAGGAATGAGAGACGCTCTTCAAACAAAACTTCTCCTATTCAATGTATTTGAATAAGGGAGTAAAAGTGAGTCCAAAAATTATTTTGTGTGTCAAATGATGTACACGAAAAATATTTGAATAAAATATTTTTGCTTACCAAAAATATTTTATAATATCAAAATAAATATTTGATAAATGTTTGACACACTTTTTGTAACTGACTCAATAAAACTATTTTGAACAGTTAACAAGATTTTTCAACTGACTCCAAAAATAAATATAATTTTTATTTTAACTCTCATAAAAATAATTTTGGAGAGAAGATATTTTTGTCATCCTTACAATAATTCCTAAGACTCAAATAAATAAAAAGTCTTCGGAAATCTTCTGCTCCTCCGAGTCCTTCGTTAGGCGCTCTGAACGCGTCTCGGACTCCAATAAAATCCAGTGCACCTTCTTGAAAACTTCAAGGAATGACACTTCACGTCTTTGTGTGTGTCGTTGTAGCACTTTGATCTTGACTTGAGTAAATTGTGTTTGTCAATTATCAAAACCTGTGAGTCAATACATAACAACACAGAAAGGGTTGAACTCATGCATTCCACACTAGATGCTGCGACAATCGAACCTTATGCAGTTATTATGCCTTGTAGCAATTCTAATCCTTGCGGAACCAACTCGGCCATGCCCGGCCTGCGGGTGATCTCTTTCTTTTTAATACCCAAGGAGTGAATTAGATTTTCCAACTTGCCTCAAATTAATCATAAGCATCTAAGATTTTATTCGCATTAAGTTTGGTTCAAGGGAAAAGAAAATAAAATGAGGCGCAAAGTAACTTTTTATGTTTTGTTAGTGAAGAAAAAAAAGAAAAGTAGAAGAAAAACATTAAAAGACAAAATGGGCTAAGAAAATGGAGAAAATAATTATTGGGATTTAGAACACCCTAAATATTTATGTCCACTAAATAACATGTTCTACTAAACATTAGGGTGTATACTCACTATATTTCTGAGTAATTAAAAACAAAGCTCTCTCAATCGGCAAAGGTGAATTTTAGAAATTTTCTAGTGGGTATTATATGGATTATGAAATTTAAAAGAAAAGACATTACGTGAGAGTTGTTACTTGATTACAAGCACGGACAGTTGATGATGGTGAGCATTGATAGGTGACAATGAGTGGTCGATGTTAGGGAGGGGCTCAACAGGCCGAAGTGGGTTGCTGGCGACAATGACCAATAGTTGAAAGAAATATCAAAATTTTAGATTGATATCTTCCAAATTCAAGAGATGTCAAATATGGCCATATGGGAAAGCAGATGTTAAACAAATTAGATGTGATACTATATACTCCATATCAGTTTAATTTTATCGAATATTAAATATAGATACATACATGGACAGATGATTACTATCAACATTTGTATTTGCATCTCGGGTAATTTACCTAAATATGACTAAAACATAATGACTTTATTAATATAAGATCATATGTTTTTATTTCTCAGTGTAGGACCATTGGTCATTATTCATTAGTCATTATTCAAGTAAATATCCACTATCACTAGACATTATTAAGTTCTATTTAGGAAATAAAAAAATTTATATAGTATATAATCTAATAGGGTTTGTGTTATATTTGTACAAGATAAATACGGATTCACCTTTTTAAACATAATACTAGAGTTTCAAACTTACAAAGTTTATATAAATGGCTTGTTTCAAATATTAATGCGAGTATAAAATTTAGTTGATACGATTAAATTATAAAGTGATAGACACATACTTCAAGTAGTATGTATTCGGATTTCAAATATTAAACAAATTAAGGCTGCCTCTCGTTCGCCTGATCTGATCAGATCTCATCTGATTTTTTAAAAATCAGATCAAATCTAGTTTGATTTAATGATTTGGTCTGATCTGATTTGATCTAATCTGGTCTATGATCTGATTGTAATTATAATTAAAAATATTTTTTGATCTGATCTGGTCTGATGTGATCTAAGAAAAATAAAATTTATTATCTAAATGATTAGTCGAATGCGAATGATAATAGAATTTTGGGTACTCTATATTACTCACTCCGTCCTATATCTTTCTTCCCGTTACGCAAAATGAAGAAAAATCCCAAGTTTTTTCAATCTATTTTATTTAAATATTGGTATAGAAATAAAAAATAAAACATACATATTTAAAAACTACATCAAAAGTTCAACAAAACAAGTGGTGACAAGAATATTTTATTTTATCATATAGGCCATGAAAAAATACAAATAAATATAAATTCTCGTGAAGTTGGGAAAGAAAGTTTTAGGAGAGAGAGAAAAAAGTTTCGTGCTTCCGAGAATCGAACCGATGACCCATCTTCTTAGCTTTAGAAGAGGGGGGAAGTCTACTCCGCAATAAATGGTCATCATCATCAGGGCAAAGAGCAGTCCAGGTTTGTGTGAACTTGTGAATAAGCAGACATCAACACGCATCTCTCTATAACCCCATCATCATCTTCTACATCTTCATCTTCATCTTCATCTTCTTCATCCTCACCCCTTTCCTTTGATTTGATCACTTCTTTCTCAATTTCGATTTTCCTTTCCGTCTAAACATCAATTTCCTTTCCGAACACCTTTTTCTGTAAATGTGCAGAGCGCACTTCCTCTTCTCATCTCCCATTTTCTGCAATAAAGGTAATCTCATACGCGATTTCATGGTTTTGGGTGTTGGGGTTTCTGCCTTTTTAAAATTCTTTTCCAGTAAAAATATTCGACCTTTTGATGGATGAGGAATGGGTACTAGGATTGTTTTGTGGAAACCCAGGTTGAGGACGGATTTTTTTTTATAGCAATTATTTTTTTTAAAGTGGCTTTTTTTTTAAAGCGAAAAAGTGGCTTTCTTTTGGAAAAAACATATTTCTATGCACATCTTCTGCAAAATAATTCTCTTCATCTTGTTTGTTGCTGTAAAGATCTGACTTTGATATATGAACTACTTTGATTTCAACATTTATTGTCTTTTTCAATCATTGATAAGAACACTTATTTTCCGGTTTTTTTTTGTCTAAAACAATGTTTATAAGTGGGTTTTCTGCATGAATGATCGGATTGCAATTTAATTGATTTTTGAGGTAAAATTTGATTTTATTATCTTTTCCGCCGGGAAAAGAAGTGATTATTTAGCTAATGTTTGGTCAAATCGTGGGAAATTTAACTTAAAAAAACAAAAATAGTTATAAATAACTCAACTTGTGGTTTCATTTCATGAGAATTGTCAACATTTGGGACCTCATTTCCCATCTTTTTGCCATATTCTTGGGTAATCTTCTTTGCTGTCATTTTGTACTTTAGGTCCAAGTTGAATTCTGTTGACTTATAATAGCAAATGGTTTAGGTTGGTTTCTTGTAATTCATTGAATGAAGCTGGACTTTCTGTAAAGGTCCCTTTGAGTCCTTTGATCTATTCATACTTTGTTTATTAGTCCCCCACCCACTCAAATCTTCATTCTTGATCTGTGCTTTAAAGTACATCCACTCTTCTTGTTTTTTCCTTTGTGGTGTTTCTTTGTTTTGTATTTCTGATTATTTAGTTTCTTGGATCAGGAGAAACAATCTGTTGATTGAACCAGTCATCTTCATTTGAGCTTTGATTCTTCCATCTGAAACGTTTTTCTGTTTTGAACACCGAGATTTTGGTTTCCCTATAGAGAATGGCAATAACATTCCCATCTTTGCCTTGGTGGCCATGGAGTGGGAAACAACAAGAACCCAAGGTTACTTTGACCCCATTGCCCGAATCCGGACTGTGGGAATCGGATAAAGTGAAGTTTCCTCTTGATCGCCGGCAATATACTTCTAGAAGGGTGAAGAGAAAATGGAGCAGCAGAGAGGAGAGGAAGATCGATAAAGAGTATGACATTGTTGTTGTTCCATCTGATGGTGGGTGTGTGTCGGGGTCCGAGTCTGACGATTCTGATTGGTCAATTGGATGGATGGAACCTCACGGTTCGGGCTTCCTCAGCGATGATGATTCAGATGATAGCTTTGCTGTCTTGGTTCCTTGCTATGGGCATGTTGGGAATTTCGCAAATAATTTGCAAGAACAGTTTCTCAGCAACATTCCCAACATTTCAGGTATGTATTCGACAGGTACAAAATCATTGTAAATAGTATATTATTATACAAGTTGTGTTCAATTCTTACATTTAAAGTCTGCACACTAAATATTTGATATCATTTCCTGCCGTTTTAAACTGGCTCGAAAAGAAGTTCTCATTACATTCAGAGAAAGAAATCGGCATAAACTTCCACCATACAATTTCCCTTTTTATTAAACTCTGTGAAAAGGCAAATGAGGACTTCTTTTAGGGATGAAAAGAGTATTAATTATTGAATGAGCTTTTGCTCATGAATGCCAAGTATTTCTGCAAAAGTTTCGAGGTTAGATTGGATATGGTTTTAGACCGTCCTTTTCAACTTGTTTTCCCTTCAGTTAGAACTTCATAGTTTGGTTCACCACTTTGATGCTAGCAATTTAAACTAAATCATCCAACTTTCAGTTCAATAAGTTTTAGTCGAAAAGAATATCATAACATCACAACCATCCATTTCTATTCATTTCCTTCAATTCTTTTGACATTGTTGTCCCTACATTTTCTCCTCTTAGCATCATCTGAAAATCTGAGAAAGAATAACCGATTCAGTTCAATCTTTTAAGTGTCTTATAACCCAGTAGATCAGAGTGACCCTAATGCGTTCTGTCACCTACGGTTTTGGCTTACTCTGCAGAAAACAAGACATATATGGAGCAGTGGCTTTCTTCGCTTCAGAATATGTGACATCTCGCGGCCACGCGGGTGCCCGAATGGTTTTATCACTGTGGACCGGATGAAATAATGTCACAAAAGCTTGGTTGTCAATGCAATAAAAAAAAGAGGGATATGATGAAGATGAAGAACACCAAGACATAAGAAGTGGAGTGAAACTATTGTAAGTACAAGTGATGAATTAATTGTATGGTATGGTGTCATGTCTCTCAATATATATATATATATATATATATATCTAAGATATGGCATTAGAGCATGCTTACAACATTCTTTTGGAGTATATATTCTTATTATTAGTAGTAGTAATATATGATGGGAGGGAGGGAGGGATGGGTATCCCTTGGTTTTTATTATTGTGGATTTGTGGAATCTGTTGTAAGTATAACTCTAAGTAGCAGTTTGTTTGCTGATGATGATATTCTAATGTAAATAACTTTATGGATATATTGTCTCATTCCATTGGCATTAAATAAATAGTTATTCTAATGTAAATAAGTTTATGGATATGTTGTCTCATTCCATTGGCAATAAATAAATAGTTATTATAATGTAAATAAATTTATGGATATGTTGTCTCATTCCATTGGCAATACATAAATAGTTGTGTCTAATTTGGTAAAACCAGATGTGTGTTTATTAAAGTGTGTGTGTTATTTTTTTTTTTTTTTTGCATTTGAAGGCTTTATAGTTAGCTTGTTTCTGAATGGAGAAAGTACGCATTAGATTAAATTCGCGTAAAAATATCATTTTTAATGCAATTCTATTTCCATTCAATTAATAATGAAACCTTCATAGAAAATTGCAATTCTTTTTTGTAGAGGGTTCAGGTTGACTTTTTTTGGTTCAAATTTTTAGAATCAATTTATTACTAAAATTTGCTCTCTCCGTTCCAAAAGAACTTATGCGTCGAACAACTTGCAAGATCTTATTTGTTTTAAAATGATTTTACGCACAAATTTGTAAAGTATTAAAAAGTAGAACTTATATATTTAAAAACTATGTCAAAAGTTTTACATAATAAACAATGACAAGAATATTTTCTTTTATCAAATAACCAATGAAAATGTATTCGAAAGCTACAGTCATCAGAGGATTAGAAGAGTAAACAAGAAAAAAGTTTTGGGATGAAGAGAGTGGAATTTTATTATTGAAAAGTATAATTTCATTAACCACGGTTCTTAAGGGAAACTCAAATACAATTGATGATTCAAAATCATTAACACATCGAGACACCTTATAGAATATTACGGAGTAATAAATTGTAATCTTATAAACCACTGCTAGATGGTTGTTGAAACGAAAATTGAGTTCATCTTCAATCCATAATAGCTGAGACTAATGGTTTGGAGTAAAAAGTAAACTTAATAAAGGCTAATCACAATAGTATAAAAATAATTATTAATGACTTTGCTAGGATTTAACATGAATCTGGGAGAATAGTCTTTTTACTAGTACAATTTAAGTCAGGATAAACTTTGTTATTTGTAATTACGGTGGGATTCTCATGACATTGGAACCCCATGTCATGGAATGACCCGGGGCGTTCTGGTACTCTGTTCGTAAAATTGGCAGTTCTTACCCCCTAAACCCCCGGCAAACCCCCTCACCCTACCCTGACCCAAACACCCCCCCACCCCTTCTCACACATTTCATCAATTGGCAAGTGGATTTTTTCTCATTTGCCAAAGGCCCATTTCTTTTACGGTATTAACACATTAAGGTCCATAAAACAAGCATACACCTTAAGATCAAATAAAAAATTATCATGTAGAGTAATCCCTTTTTCAAATAAGTATTTTATTTTGCCCTAAAAGATTTTCTACTATTAAAGATAAAAGAGTGATGATAAATTCACACCTTAGATGGTCATATCCATACATTTCCCCTAAATTTGCCAAATTTATATCCACTAATATAAATTTGATGACGAGTGTTAGTGTAGATTTAGTAAATTAATACGGAGTATGAAAATGTGAATACAGTATAACGGTATTGATTTGGTCTGACCCAAAATAAAATTATTGGACTGATCAATCTGAATAGGAGAAAGTGAGAAACAATATTATCACCTCTCAATAGCCATAACAACAGTAGAGTAAAAGAGAAGTTAACCAAATGCAAGGACACATTAAAATTGTAGTAAATCAATTGCAATTTGCAACAAGATTAAGAAGCGGACAATAGCCACAACAGTATGTTGGATCACTTATAAGTAACAGAAAGTCAACAACACAATTGGGTGAAAAAAGAGAGGCTAAAATTGTCTTAGATTCACAATTCTCAAAAATAAAAGTGTAGAGGTTCGAAATAAAACTTGGTACTTCAGAAGACGACGGTGTCAAGCATGGTTCCCAGAGTTTGAATGATGTTGGAAGACATCAAGTTAGAAACATGTTCTTCTAGATGCTTCTTGGCGTCTTGCCTTCCCACATTTGCAATGGCCAGCTTTTCTGGAGGCAACTCGTCCTCTTCCTGCACTGCTTTGTTATATTTGATTGCCAGGTTTAGCATTTCCTGCCACGCAACGAGTTATCATCGTAAGGACACAGGGAAAGTAGCTTCTCAAGGGTTCATAAATCATGACCGAAAACCGCCCAAAAGAAAAGGCGTAAAGGTTTCATTTTCCTTGGGGGTCTGTTTGGAACCCAGAAAATACAACAACAAACCTAGTAAAATCCCACAAGAAGTAAGGTCCGGGGAGGGAGGGTGTGTGTACATACACCTTACCCCTACTATTTATGTAGTATAGAGGATGTTTCCAGAAGACCCCCGGCTTCAATATAGCAGTATAACCAAGGAAGCTACTGAAGCATGCACGAATTAGGAAAAATGACAAAAGAAGCAAACAAACTGACTCGGTAGAGCATGGGGAACTTGGAAAATGCTAGGGAAAATACTGGGTAATTTAGGGGAAGTAATGGAACAAGTAATGGAACAGTTCATTACTTGGACAGTTTCCTCATTGGTTTTGGAGTGGGCATCAAATCGCTGAAGTGTCAGCCCGTCTGTCCATTTCTTCTTGTGAAGATTCAGCAGCATCTTCTCTTCAAGTTCGTTCTTTCTGTAATTGATTGATATGGAGTAATAGTGCCGATTTAGCCCATGAATCAATGCCTGCATGATCCAAATACCCATCATATCCATAAAAAGACAATTCACCACACATTTCATTAATTACAGCCTTCAGAGTAATATATACGGAGTATTATTTAGCACTCACTTGGATAGAGGGTTTGTTTAGATGCCCTAAGTTTGATGTTGTCTGACGTGGCTCTTGTCCAAGCATCATCGTTTGGGGGTTGATTAAACGGAAGGCATCAATCACCACCTTCCCTTTAACACTCTGTATCGGATCAACCACCACGGCAACCGCTCTTTGATTCAAAGCTTCAAAACTCTGCACATTGTAATATTGTAAAGAAAAAAATTACCATACACGTTCAATAGCAAATCCTCAATCACAAAAGATGAGTTAACTTGAATAACATGACAAAAATTTTACACTATGTTTGGTTCAAGGAATTTGAAAGGTGAAAGAAAAGACAAAGAGAAAGAAAACAATTTTCCTTGTTTGGTCAGAGAGGAAAAGATTGGACAAAGATTCACTATTTTTTTGGCTTTGGGGCATGATGGAATAAAGCAAAATGATGTGCTTCTTTCAATAGTGAAATAGCAGTTAGTTAATGCAACTTTTGAGTCTCACCATGGGTCATCTAGAAACAAACGCTCCATGTTTTAAACGTTGCGTACATCCCACCCCCCTTACCTTGGAATGGGCATTGGGATAATGTTGTTGTTGTTGCTCTTGTGGTTAGAGAGAAAAAGAAAAGAGGATATAAAAGAAAATGAGAAGACAAAATGTACTAAGATAAGGAAAACCAAACTCCTCCCATTTTGGTGAGGAAAATGTGAGAAAATCATTTTCTTTTCTTTTCCTTCCAAATTCCTTGAACCAAACATAGTGTTAAATATCCTGAAATTTGGGATAGTTCATTTATTTATAAACTCTTGGAAACCGCCTTTCTACTCATTGGAGCAGAAACAAAATCTTCCAACTGCCAAAAAAAGTCTTGAGAAGGATATACTAGGTTTGCTTATGTATGTATGTATGCATGTATAAATGTAGGTACCTGTTGAGTATTAATGTCCACACCCGATAGCCAACAGCCAAAACCAGGATGTGAATGATACCAACCAACAACCATCTCTGGCCTGCAGCACCGCAACAAAGATTCAGACCATACATGTTGCTAAAGATTAAAACCACACCAAATCCAATAAACAATAGGAAATAAAAAGATAATGAGACCATTTACAAATAAATTAGCAAGAGATGGTAATCCATCGAGTGTTAAAAGTTATTACAGATTCATTGAAAAAAAATACAGTATTTCAGCTCAGGCTCCATAATAACTGAGTGTTTTATGTTTCTAGCTCATCACCATCTCCTCCCTCCCTCTCATAAAGACTTAGAATACAATAAAATTCTCTTTACCACACGTTGATGCATGCATTTTTAAAAAGTGTAATTGAATAGATAGCATAAAATACACATATTTATCTAAATCTATTCACATTGCACTCCTGCTAACAATTGCTTGTTCTAATTCGGTATATCTCAAGACTCCAAAAAAATCAGATTAAACAACATTCCCAATAGAATCTCACAAAGTGTGTGTGCATAGACATTACACCTAATGAAAAGTAAAGAAGCTATTTCAAAGAGAACCCTAGCTCAAGACACATGTGCACAACCACAAATGAAAGTAGCACAAACAAAGAGACTACCAAAAATTTAATTAATATATAGATAGGCATGTCCCTCCAAAGTAACCCAACCCCACTTAGTGGGATAAAGCTTTGTTGTTGTTGTATGCCCCTCACAAAGTACTGTGCATGAAAAAGTTAGTTATGCCTCCCTAGATTCCAGAGACCTACCTTGTCAAATTCAACAGACAAAGTTCATTCCTAAAAGTTAACCACACCTCAGAGAACAAACATCAATTGCAGGGGCACCGCATCTTGATCTCATTATGTATTATGATAAAACACAAACCAAGACCACAACGCTTAGTCACTTACTATTGCTAAACCATCTACAGGTACAGAGTTACCCCAATTTCATTGTGGAATATCATTGTATCATAACCACACACATCATAATTAACAAACCGCAAAGAATGTAAACTGAATGAGAGAAAAGGGTTTAATTTTGTACTCGCATCTATTTACTTTTAGAAATCATTTTCTCACAGAGAGTCTGGTACAGAAAATTTACAAAAAGAAAACTTAAAATAAAGAATCTATTACTCTCTTTTGGATCAAATTTTATTTTGCATAGTAGGCACTTCAGAATTTCAAGAAACTTAGATGCTCTAGCCAAGATAGCTGGACCAATACAAGAATAGATAGTGAAAGAAGTAGGGTCATACCTGCCTGTTTGCTTGAGCATGTCAAGCATATTGGTCTGGAAGACATGATCGACCGCCTCAACACTCACTCCAGTCCCACTCTGTGGCATAGCAAACACATCGACCACCCGGACAGTGTACTCATCCACAAATTCCCCCAACATTAATCCCATAACTTCCATAGGAACCCCAGCTCTCCCTGTTCAATGTCAACACAAAACCCTAATTCTTATAACAAGCATAAAATGAATGCGCCACAATTCGTGGACTACGCAACAACATTATCATCATCATCAACAACAACAACATGAAACCCACTAAATCCAACGGAACGGTGTCTGGGAGGTTACCTTACCCTCCTACTTGAAAACAAAGAGGCTGTAAATTCAGGCACGGACTACATTGAATATCCAAATTGAAGAAGAAAAAGAAGAAGCCCTAGGTTACCGTGTTTGAGCATCTTAAGGAGAGCCAAAGAAGAGATGTAAACTTGCTCTGATGAATCGAGAGTGGGAGAATCCGGCGGCGGTTGACCTAACCCACCCCCAGCTCCGGCCAACATACGCTGCAATCTTTCCATTCCCGACTTGGTTTCGAGATTTTTTTTTCAGTTATCCCCTACTCTGCCACAGATAGCTGCTTTGATTTCTTCGGAAACAAGCTTTGTGTAAGGATTCAAGGTTTCCTGGATCTGGTGGAGTCTAGACAAAGCCGTAAAAATTAAAATGATTTTTTTAAAATGAACCCCAAGCCCCTCACCAATTTTGACTTTAAATTTAAACTTTAAAATTGGTATTATCTTTTAGACATTTTCGTCTTGCCAGATGCGTAATATTTAGACTTTGATTAGAGATTGTCCTTGAAAAACTTCCAAATTAGGTAATGCCTGCCAGCTGATTCGTAAAATAAGTTAAGAAAAAGTAAAGTGTTGTGCTAAATTCAATCCTTTATTTATAATGTCTGTCACTATTCACAGGGTCAAACTCTATTCACTTTCTTTTTCTATTTTCGTTAGCAATTTGATAAAATAAAATACTATTGTCACTATTAGTTTTGTAGATCTTTTGATATACTTCTTCCGTCCCAAATTATTTGCCACATTTGTATTCCCGAGGAAAAATATCAAGCTTTTTCAATTCATTTTATTTACATATTGGTATAGAAATAAAAAATAAAATTTACATATAAAAAAACTACATGAAAAGTTTTTCGAAATAAGAGATGTTAAGAATATTTTATTTTATCAAATAACCAATGAAAACGTTCAAATAAACAAAAGTTCCCGCGACTACTGAAAAAGCAAATGTTGTAAATATTTAGGAATGGAGGGGGTAGTATTTTAATACTTCATCCGTCCCTAAATTGATTACAATTTTTTCTCTCTCTCATCTCGATAACTTTTTTTTGTTTACGCGATTTTATTAAGTATTTGATAAAATAAAATATTCTTGTCACCTCTTGTTTTGTAGAACTTTTGACGTACTTCGTAATTTTTTAATATATAATTTTTATATCTTATTGATATACCAATTTGTAAATAAAATGATTTCAAAAAGTATGAAATTTTACTCCGTAACCCGCAATTTGTAATCAAATTGGGGACGGGGGGAGTATGTAATTTTTATTTTTTAACTGTATATCATTTGTCATATAAAATAATTTGAAAATAATTTCAGTCAAACATCGTAAACCGAAACATGCACTATAAATTGAGACGGAGAGATTAATTTATAAGAAATTGACAACTTTGTCTTCCATTTCATATTTTCCTTGTTTAAAGCAATAAAGGTATGTTTGTTGATTTCATATAAAAAGAGAGATATAACCAAATAAAGAGTAGATTTAGCAATAAACAAAAGTAAATTGTAATATGAACCAATATTATTTTAAAAATGAAATGAGATATATTTATTTAGAGATGATGAAAAGAAATTCTTTTCACTAAGTTTTTTTGCAGATGTCTTTTTTTTTTAACTTCCATTTATACGGAGGAGTACTAAAATGTTTAACATGTTCAATTTAGGGCGTCGGCATGATTGACAAAGATGATTGATGGGATTTTTGAACGTAATTTATTCAGTAGTTTTTTTTTTCAGCGAAATATTCCCCGTGTCTCAAAACAATCTTTCCTTTTTTTGTTCGTCTTAGAAAAAATTATGGTGCAATTAAAAAAACTATTTACCCTTCCTTATAAATGATGTGGCAACCTACGCGGACTCATTTCTTTCAAATTACACTTACAGTTTTTAGGAATTTTAAGAAAATTAAAAAAAATGTTATTGACAATGGTCTAAAGTTTTTTTTATTGAGTAGTACTTTAATAATTTATCTTTTCTTTTTGAACTTGTGATTTAGCTTAAAAATGCTGAGCATAAACGAAAAATATTTTAAAAATGAAATGAGATATACTTATTTAGAGATGATGAAAAGAAATTCTTTTCACTAAGTTTTTTTGCAGATGTCTTTTTTTAACTTCCATTTATACGGAGGAGTACTAAAATGTTTAACATGTTCAATTTAGGGCGTCGGCATGATTGACAAAGATGATTGATGGGATTTTTGAACGTAATTTATTCAGTATTTTTTTTTTCAGCGAAATATTTCCCGTGTCTCAAAACAATCTTTCCTTTTTTTGTTCGTTTTAGAAAAAATTATGGTGCAATTAAAAAAACTATTTACCCTTCCTTATAAATGATGTGGCAACCTACGCGGACTCATTTCTTTCAAATTACACTTGCAGTTTTTAGGAATTTTAAGAAAATTAAAAAAAATGTTATTGACAATGGTCTAAAGTTTTTTTATTGAGTAGTACTTTAATAATTTATCTTTTCTTTTTGAACTTGTGATTCAGCTTAAAAATGCTGAGCATAAACGAAAAATATTGAATTCAAAGTATGTAGGTAAAGCAGAATTGAGTCTAAGTTAAAAACAACAGTCTTAGAGCATCTCCAACGGGAGAACAAAAAAATGAGCTTCTATATCCTCATTTAGCACTTCTAACGTGATTTAGAGGTTCATTTATTTCAATTCGTTCCAATGACAAATGCTATAGTTGAGTTGTTAAATATGAAATGGACATTTGTTTATTATTTATTTATTCAATTTTCTCTCTCCTACTCTCATTATTTATTGGACATACATCAAATCATTTGAAATTTTTGGTGGGCCCAAATCATTATTTTATCAATTAAATTTTTAGCTTTTATGAATAGCATCTTCTAAATATAAAGGATTAAGTTATGTGTACCCCAACATTTATACTCCAATTTGAACCCCGCAGGTTTGCACCAACATTTTGTGTTGGTGTAAAACTAATTTTTGTTAACGCACAAACACTTTGTGCCCGTGTAAATTTTTGTTAACGCACCAACACTTGTGTCGGTGTAAACCATTAAAATGTTTATGGATAACTGTGAGGTACAAATGGGGTACATTTTTTGGTGTAAGTGTAGCATGGTCCATATATAAAAGGTGCAGAAGCATTTATGCATGGCCTTCTAGAAAATAGAGCTTCACTTGGAGGACTAAATTTGCTACAACAACCTCTATTGTTGCTATTTTTAAGCATTTAGCAGCTCCTTTGGAGTTCCTCTTAGTGTCTCATTTCATCAAACACAAAATTATACTAGTAGAATAGAAAATTACCCCGTGTAAATTGTGATAATCATAGTTGAGTGCAAAAAGTTAAAAATGAACAAATATTCTGTGACAATATTCTGTGACAGGTGAAATATTATTTAAAAAACCGATCTTTACTTCATGATAAATTCCCCATCAGTCATCACTGTATGAAAAGTAAACTCCCGAACACACCATCAACAAAAGGCTCATTTACTTACTAACATACGGAGTATTTAACCATCCACAAGTAACAAGAAGAAGAAAAAACATCAGTTAGTTTACACAAAGGGGGATACCCAAGGGGGGAGGGAGGGGGATACAGATATATGTAAACATTACGCTTTCCTTAGTATATTACACTACATTCGTCCAAGAACCTTACGGAGAGCAAAAAAAGAAGACTTTTTTGCGTGCGAGGGGGGGGGTCAAGAATCAGAGAATACACAAAGCTCAGCCCGGCTTGAATGGTTGGTTAAGTGGCCTTGTCTTTATCCACAGTTGATGATGCATTTCTATCCCCAGTTTGGGTTTCACCAATGTGGCTCTTATTAACTACTACTACTGGTTGTGTGTTCTTTTCCTCATCTCTGTTTGGACCTTGATGATCCCCTTGACCATTCTCCTTTGCTGCTGCATCTTTCTTGTCTCCAGAAGCAGCATTACAATGGTTGGGCTTTTCTGTTGGGATTTCTGCAGTTTTAGAGGTGTCGTGCTCGGCTTCCGGAATAGGGTTTGTGCCATTAGCCATCTTAGGGCCTGAGGTGGGAATGGTTTTTGGGTTTGTACCATTTGGTGGCATGTTGGTTGGAGAAGGTTTGGGTCCTGAGGGGACAGTACTGCTGGGTAGGATGGTATTGCGCTGATGACCTACGGACGGCGGTGCGGGTTTTCCGGTCCGTGTGGGGTTCGGCATTGTTTTTGAATGGGACAATAAGCCGGTGCGTATGAAGTGAACATTGCTGGGCAATGTGGTTGTACCGGGCGGTTTAACCAACGGTCCACCTCCGCCGGGTGTTATTCGGACGGCGTTCTTAGACTGTGCTGCCTTAAGCAGCGTTGCCGCATCCGAAGGGGTGGCGATGCGGGCCCCGGCAGCAACTGCAGCTGCTTTCACCATTGAATCTGGGGTAGGAGTGGTTGGCTTTGAGGGAACTCGTGGTTTTGGGGGTCCCGCCATTCCCAGCTTCTGTGCTGCTGCCATTGGGAGGTCTTGTTGAGCAGCAGCAGCAGCAGGTTTAGCATGGTTGATATTAGCAGCAGCAGCAGGTTTAGCATGGTTGATATTAGTAGCAGCAGCAGGTTTAGCATGGTTAGTATTAGCAGCAGCAGCAGCAGGTTTACCATGGTTAATATTAGCAGCAGCAGCAGCAGGTTTACCATGGTTGATATTAGCAGCAGCAGCAGGTTTACCATGGTTGATATTAGCAGCAGCAGCAGGTTTACCATGGTTGATATTAGCAGCAGCATTTGACACTGCTGAAATTTGAGCAATACCAACATATAGGATCAAATTATGGGGGTATAATGGGTAAAATGACAACTGTGACAGTGAAAAAAGTAACACAAATCACAAAACATTGTAGTTAATGTGTGTAGAGAATTACCACTAGTAATTGAAGAAGCAGCTTTCAAATTATCTACCCTTGGCATGTCCAGAGCCAGAGACATGGCCCGACGAGCTGCTAATTGAGCCTCTGAAAGTTGTGAGCTGTTCCCAACAGAGGGGCCCTGCCGCTTCCTAATAATGGCCCACCTCTGCACAGATTATATCGAATTAAATAACAACGTACAAAAAACATTTAACTGCAGTAAATAACATGGTTAAAATGAGCCTGTATCTTGGTGACATTTTGCAATCTTTTTTTTGGGTAATACACAACACATTATATAGAGCACTATTCCGTTGCCGGGATTTGAACCCGGGAAACCTGGGTTAAACCCAGTCATTCTAACCATACAAAATAACAACGGACATCCATGAATTAACGGTAAACACATTCTGTTTAACATCACTCTATTGTATAATAGAGCAGCTGTTTAACATCATTCTATTGCATAATAGAATATCTGGCAAACATGAATACAAAGCAGAGTATTTGAAATGTTTTGCAAAAAAATGACCAAAGACGTTCACTTCACCCAAAAAAATGTGCTCTAATTCAAACTTTTAAAGATTTGCTCTGATCCAATCTTAATCAATTGGGTTTGTGAAAATATGGCCTTAATGTTTGGATTGTTCTGAATGGTTAGAAGACAAAATGCTTGTATTAATTACACTCTAATAGGATCAATGTAAATATCTTTTTTTTAATCCATGTAGCCGACCCCTCCTAGTGTGATAAGGCATGGTTGTTATTGTTGTTGTTAAAGAGTACTAAAAAAGAACTAAGATGTGTCCTTGTGTCTGATGAGAGTCGTGAAGGCGAAAAAAGATGAGTCTAGTTTTCATGAATTAGTAAAGCAGATATACTTCAATAAGAATATTGTGGGATCATAAAGCATCTCTAATCCTCTAAACCTACAGAGGAAGAAAATTTCTTTTAGACTGCCATTAGGCCAGTCTTATAAAATGGACATGAATGTGTTACGGGCATGGTAGTCTTGTTGAGCAAGTATTCGTCTCAACAATTACCCCGTGCGGTATTGGTAGTAGGAATATTAGCTAAAAAGAATCCCAATATGAATATTTAACAAATACTAATAACACCAAGGTTCTTTTGGCAATTGGGTTGGGTGTCATAATATGACACCTAGTTCATTTGAGGGCTCTACGGTGCTCCGTTCTACCCTAAAGTGATTCCTAACCCCCCCCCCCCCATTGGAGTGACAATCCATTGTTAAAATTTTAACAGGGATTGTCACCTAAATTGGTGGGAAGGGAGGGGGTAGGTGGGTAAAACTTACTTCAGGATCATAAGGAGCACCATAGGGCCCTCAAGTTGCCCGGTGTCATATTATATTATTATGACACCCATGATGGGAGTCAAAAAAAGCTAATCCCACTAATAATCGGAAATGAATTCCAATTATTCCGAGAAAACTAATATTTCCATCACGTAAGAGGAAACAAATTAAACCAGCATGAGGAGGAGTATAGGGTAGCCACTTTGAGATCAAATAGAGCACCGTTGGTGCTCAAATGGACAATATGACACTGGTACTCCGTGTCAAAAGAACCGTACTCAATGATTTAACCAATTGAGAGTTCAAAGGTTTCAACCGATTAGAATGGGTGACAAACAAATGACTTTGCTAGATAAGCAGAAGTGGTTTCCAACACTCCCGCCTCCTAAAAATAAGTATACACCCTTTTGTTTACTAAACCAGTGCACACAAAAATACACACAAGCCAAGTGAATATATCGTTCCATCCAATAATGCAAAATTGAAAATAACGGAAAACATTGGAAAAATAGCGGACATGCCTCCCTAGCTGATTCCCAAACATATATCATCGGAACTATATAACTTGTTCAATGAATTATCAATATCACTAGTATCTAACTACAATGACTTGCACAAGAGGAATTTTTTGTGATGCAAGATTACATCAAAGAAGAAGAGAATATAGTCTAAACAAGTACGAAGTAATACTTGTAAATCAAATACGAGCACTAAAATGCTACTTGCACAAAATTCTGTGCCATCATCTAATATGGCATGTGACACAAGTCATTATTCTTAATACAAGTTAAATAGTTAATTGCTCAATGCCACCAAGAGTCAGTCATATACGCTTATAAGCCACATCAGAACATAGCAGGTTTAAATCTAATAAAATTGCATTTCCAAATAATAATATAAAACCTTCATGTACATAGGAAAGACATAATTTTCAGTTCTCTGGTTTTTTTATTGATTCTTGTTCAGAAAAATAACCCCTACAGATCATAACATCATGTTTATCCAATCTTGACCATTCCCATGGGGATGAATACTTTATTACTCCGCACATCAGTTGAGCCGTCAAAATCTATAAATTTCATAGCATTCAGATTTTGAAATCAGGACATATTTGCAGAAGTTATATTTCTTCCTAGTGCTTTTAACATTAGGTTATTTTAAACCATTGTTCTTCACCTTTATTTGGGTTAAAAGTCATTACATAAAATCATCTTCTTTTATTTAATTACTCAATTTGTTAATCAAAGGGTGTTGTCATCAGCATATATGTTTTACATACAGATAATATACAATTTACATTGTTGAAATTCATCTAAACTCTAGATTGTAATGACTACATGTTCTCTGAGTGCAAAAGATGAAAGTTGAAATCAACAATGTTTGTGTTAAACCATGCCATATTTCCATTGAAAAAAGAAATAATTGAAGGTTCCCAAAACATAAAGAAATAAAACAAACACATCCTGTTTTGTACAGAACTATTAGGTGTAGATGTTTGTGGTGGTTGATTCAGAAGAAACTCTTTGGAAAGACGAGATGTTTATGTCAGACTTTTGAGGTTTTAATAGTAGAAAGCTGTATATCAAAAAGTTTCCTCCAAAAAGCTTGAAAAACAAGATTTTGGTAATCCAACTTTTTGGAGCAAAAAAAGTTGGTCACCAAACACTTCTACTAGATGCTTGATCAATCATTTGCCTCAAAAAGCTCCTTCTGAACAAAAAATGTCCAAGAAGTTGTGTGCCAAAGACACCCACACACACCTCTCGATATGAAATAATTATGAATTATCAATAATAGAAAACCATAAAAAAGAAAAAAGAAATACAGGAATCTAATGAAAACCTGAGAAAGCTGAGAAGCTGTTCTTTCACCCTTAAAATCCCCTTTCAGAATGTTTGCCCAGTTTCCTTCACCACATTTCTGAACTGCAGCAATAAGTTCCAAGTCCTCTGCCTCAGACCATGGTTTTCTTTTACGCCGAGGAGGCAAGTTCTGATTACATGTTCCATTGGTATCTAATCCCTCTGCCGTTGTGACAATGGGAGATGGCTGTATTTGCACAGAGACTGGAATTGTAATATTTGTCCCTTGCATGGAAATACTTTGGCATGAATTCTCTGAAGGGTTCCTACATGTTTGGGCAGTGGGAATGTTTATGGTCAATGGAGCCTCAACAGTTGTGCCATTTGACAAACAGGACTCACTTAGCATTCCAGAAGCAATTATGACCTGTAAAAGCCCAAGTCAAACACCAACACCATTTAGAAAAAACCTTCATTCGGATCATCTAACAAGAGTAAAAGGTATGAAGTTTCTAGAGGAATGGGATCGATATCATGCATTCTTGTAATAATAGTTTGTAATACCTTCACATATGCTGCAGCCTCTGCAGAGGCTTCACTGCCAACTGCTGGAGTTGCTTCCAATTCACATTCTAAATCACTATCATCTTCCTGCCATCCAAAATGGTCAAACTATCAAACACCTATAAAATTCTGTTGGTAGGGTGTACTAATGTTAAACTGAAGTCAAACATAGTACATAGACAGTAATTGGACGAAGACGCTAACTTGGGCAAGGCTAAGGCATTTCAGTCGATTTTAACATATGACATTCACACTGGAAAACATAAGGAACTTAAGAAAGATTTGACATTAAATCTAAGGCCATCGATCCCGGATAGTTAGGATTAGGGTGCCGATCGTGATGTTGATGATGTTAGAATTTTGTCAACTAACTCTAGCACATGTAAGTTTTTCACCAGATCATATCAGACTTAAACCTTGACCAAACAACCCAACAATTAGAATAAGGAGAACCCCACACTCAGGGAAAAGAAGAGAAAAGACACAAACTTTGATCAGCACAGTAGAGCTGCAGCAAAAATTCAACATCCCTTTTATTATTTCATACACCTTGACAGAAGTCAACACAATAGGACTCTTTAAGTGACTAGGCCAAACAGTGCTACACAACCAAAGACTATACATTAAAAAGAATTGACAACACAATCTAGGGACCAAATGTGCAATTAACTCCATTATTAGCTTGGTGTACACTGTTCAAAAGGGCACAAATCGATAAGTTCCCATAGATCCAGTCTTTTTAAATTATAATGATTTCAAAATGCACAGTAGTCACTAGAGATCTGTTAAACTATATCAATCAAACGATCCCAGAAAACACAGCCAAATTTGAAAGAAGAAAAGAAAGAATCGCTGGGGAATTGACTGACCAGAGGCAGAGCACCATCATCCAATCTATCAACCAAGCCATGACGATAAGCCAAATGACGCCATAGCATCTGGTACTCCCTAGCATTCTTGATCCCAGTGGTCGTCTTCTTCACCAACTCATTCCAATCGATCTTCACATCAGGAACTTGCGCCACCTCTTGCAACAACGCCAGCACCGTCCTCGCGTCATACCTTGGACAACCCCCATAAAAAATCATTAAAATCCACGAAAAGTCGCGATTTTTTTCCGGACAAAATTAAGGTCTAAATCGGTACCTGTCTAGAAGTGCGGAGACATCGTCCTCACTGACGTAGCACTTCTTCCTCTTATTGGATTTCTCGAGCATCTTTCTACTTCCCATGCGCGAGTGCTTTTTTTTCTCCTTCTACGATCGCATACTCCGCCGTGAAACGCCTAGCGATGAGGGGAGAAAAACCCTAGGGCGGAAAGGAGGGAGAGGGCTTGTCCCGGCGACCGAGTGGGGGAGTGATCGATCATGGGAAGAACTAACAGAGCGACGGCTAGGGCATGCCAAGTTCCCAGCGGAAGGGGAGGCCACGGTGCGACGCCGCCGTCGGTGTCGACTGTGGGCTGGAGGAGTACGTAACGCCTGACGGGAAGTTGATCGGCGGGGAGTGTGTAATGACACTGAAGCCCTTGTTACTTTGGGACGTTTCCAGATTTTAAACAAGACTTGGGAACTTCAAAGTTGAAAACTTGAAAAGATCGGAGTCAAACACTCAAACTGGACGAGGATATGGTTTGTAGGGGTGTTCATTCTCAAAAACCGACCGAACCGGACCGTTAGGTTCAGAATCCGGACCGATGGTCGATTCTCAATCCGTATGATTTTTAATTTCGAGTATTGGTCCGGTCTAGACTCACATCGAACATGGGAATGAACAACACAAGTAAAACCAAGTTGCCAATTGAAAATTGGAGTTATTAAAAATTATTAGTAGATTATTTTATTTATAAATTGATAGATTATAAAGAAATAAAAATTACATATAAAAAAATGTCAAAAGTTTTATAAAATGAAAGTTGATAAAAATATTTTAATTTATCAAATACTCAATAAAAATACACATATAAACAAAATTTATCGAGAAGAGAGAGAGAAAAAGATTATAATATATTTCGGGACGGTTGGAGTAAAAAACTACCACCAAAACTCAAACAACTACCCAAATAATTTAATTTTATTTCTTCGAAAAGGATTATAAATATTAAATGGATATTTTCTGTATTTTATAAATTAATCAAAATTGCTTATAAATTATTTTTTCCGTGTTTCTCTGTGCTCTATTCTTGATGATTGTAAGAATCTTGTGCTCTTTGTGGCAGAAATTTTAATTTTCGTTTTATTTCTCATTTTGCTAATGAGATTGCGCATTTATTAGGGTGAGTTTCTCATTCTTTTCAGGATTTAGCGGTGTGAGTTGAGTCACCTACGAAGTTTATTTTTTCTTTTATTTAATTTTTTATATTTTTTCTTCATAAAAAAATATTTATAAGTAATATACCATTTTGAAAATGATATGGTTCGAAGTGGAAAGTGATTTCGAGATCCAATAATTTCATTTTCCCGAACCAAATCATCTCGTTGTTGTTTGTTCAAGTTTGACCCCTTAAAAAATACTCTGTATTTAATTACGGAGTATATTAGAAAATTCATTTTATTTTAGGTGCACCAAAAAAATTGTCAAATGATACACTCTCTGCCCCAAAAGACCTGTCAAATTTTCATTTTTTACCATCTTTAAAAATCTGTATGTGCTAAAAAGAATGATGCCGCATTCTTACTCTTTTATCTTTTTGTGCAAATTTGAAATTACTGCCTTTTGTACACATAAAACACACAATCTGCATAGAACAAATATCATGTGATAATTTATGAACCTTTGAAAAAGACAGTAACAGATTACATATAAATGCACCATCATATATGCATATTCTTTTAGCAGGCAAGAAAACCTAAAAGGCATTTGGGAAGAAAGACAAAAACATGTGTGCTTCTTCTGTTCAATATTGGGTAATGGGAAAACAAAGCAACTAAGAGGATCAACCATTGCTATAAATAAAGAAAAAAAAGAAAAGAATACAACAACAGATTGGTGTGCAAATACAAACTACGGAGATGATATCATACGACGATGATCACCACACATCCCTCAGATACCTTCCATCCATCTGTAGTTTCTTCACGATGGCTTCCGCTTTCGACGTGTCTACCTTTTCCTGAATTCAAGTGAAGCGGGTTATGAGGTGGGCCAGATGGCTATGTTTGCCATGCGTAAACCTGACTTATTAGCTAACCAAACTTGTAAATTAACATTAAAATTCACATTATTCAGTTGGGGGAGCTTATTTGATAAGCTTGACTTATCTTAAAAAGAGCTTTTTAAATTAAACGTGTTCGGTTGGAGCTTTTTTATTGTTTATTTGGTTGATGTTGCTGTAATTTCATTTTGAGCCTTTTTTAAACATTATTGTTTGGTATTTCAAAGCTAGTTTCTTTTGGTCCTTTTATTGTACACTAATATTCACATCGACAAACTTATGAGTTATGAACTTGGACTTTCCGACGCTTCATGTGCTGCTAGACTGCAAGGTCCACATCATAACGATAAAATCCACTTTCTTGTTTTTGTTTCTCCAATATTAGTTGTCCACTTCCATTTTTATAGAAAATAATAATAATAATAATAATAATATGAACTGACTAAAATATACGGGTAGGGTATGAGCGTCGTTGGCATAAATGATTGACAAATTCATTTGAAGACTTATTCAGTATCTTAAATTCATTTCTTAAAAATGAGATTTTTTTAGGAAGTGGACAGCCTCTTTCAGAAATAAATGGATAGAAATCCATGCCAAATCAGTAGGTCAGCAACGTACCTGCTCTTGGACAATGTCATGGAGTGCACGATGTACATCCCTAGCCATCCCTTTGGCATCCCCACATACATATAGATACCCCTCCTTTGAAATTGAATTCCATACGGTTGAGGCCTGCAATTTAATTGAAAAACAAAGCAGACACCACTCTTTACAAAACAAGCAAAAGTACTTGATGTCTTAATTAGAGCCTGTTTGTGAACTTTTTTTACTTGCCAACCAAAATTCTCACCAAACAATAGCTAATTTCACAGTTTTCACTGGGCTAGCAGATTCAGCACATTCCAAATAAAATTGAGTGACTTTTGGCTGGAATGGTTGGAAGTGAAGGGAATTATTCTACATTCATTTTTAGAAATCATGGAGTATATTTTAAATGCTACTCCGTATTTTGTAATAAAATCCAACATATTCAGCCAATTCCACTATGAATTTAGTACTTTCAACCGACTCACCAGCTCCATCCAATTTAGGCCCTAATTAAACAGGTTCTTGGTATCAACAGACTTACTTTTTCTTTGATCTTGTGTTGGACATACTCCTTCTGAGGCCCTTCCCTTGAAAATGCAACAATTAGCTCTGAAATTGTGCCTTGATCCAAAAATTTCTTGAGCTCCTCCTCATAAATAAAATCCTATAGTGTAAAGCCAAGTTAGAATGACGTATATCATTGACACGTGCATTGGTATGCAATTATGCATAAGAACTAACACTTTACCATTCTTCGGTTCCTACAACCGAAAAACAACAATGCAGGACCAAGTCGAGCACCATTCTCCTTCAGAGCTGCTCTTTCCTGGAAAATGAAGTAGTCAAAAAACGGCAAATCATCTCCATACTTTTAGGACACGAACAAGAAGCACTCACACAAGAACAAAGTGGAAAAGTAATCTCCATACCTGTAAAAATCCTCTAAATGGAGCCAATCCAGTGCCAGGTCCCACCATAATAATTGGAATTGATGGATCAGTTGGTAATTTGAAGCTCGAAGGACGAATGAAAATTGGAGCTGAGCTACAGTCATAATTTCTCTCTGATGGAATTGCATTCTAATTCATTTGAACACAGAACTTAAATATTGAAAAGTCTACAGAGTCCATGAAAAAAATTAGAATGAAGTATACCAAGTAAATGAGGGGATAATATTTTAAACCCAACCCCACCCTAAATCTTATTTTACTGGTCACAATTTTTTTGGATGAAATAAGCCAATATCAACTTCCTTAAACCATTAAATGCTAAATTGCCAAAGATACCCATAATTGTGNAGACCACCCCCCCCCCCCCACCCCCACGAAATGTATGTAGGAAGTAGCGAAAAAGCTTTGCTTGCTATGCTTCAACCTTGAGCTTTCTTTAGTACCTTCATCCAGGTGGAACACACTCCCTTATGAAGTCTGCCTGTGGGGGTCTGACCACACACTAGAGCACAAGTCACATGGACTCTATCTGGAGCAAATCTACATAGATATGAAGACAAAATGATTAGCTTTGCCCTTCAAAATATTTTTATAAAAAGAGAGACTCGTGTATGTTTTTATTTACCCTCTTATAAAAATGTTTCTACACACGTGTTAAAAATGAAATACTCACTTGGGTGATGATGAGATAGAGTAGTAACGTGGTTGTAAGCGAGGAGCAACTGCTGCAAAGAATACACCAAGGGGAGGTCTAGCAGATGGAAACTCGGCCATTACCTCAAGGAGACTTCTTTGGCTTGCAACAACCCATCGTGAGTACTCATCCTAAACCAGAGATATAAACAAGTCCACTGACAATAAGGTTAAAATTTACATAATCACATGTACATAATCAGAAACATAAGTTTTTTTCTTGAAGGGATGACCAGCAAGGAAGGAATCCAAATTAAAATGATGGAGCCGCTCTACCTTTCCGTGTGGAGACGACAAAAGCTTGAGCCTTTCTGCTTCCCCAGCTTCAGTTGCATGAGCAGCTAACGCAACCAGAGTGGCCTGGAAATAAGATATGACAAGTCTAGAAACAGCAGTTTCTTCTTAAAGCTCCCACGTCTTGCAATGCTTTCAAGTGAAAGACATTCAAAATATTGAAATACTATCATATTCATTAAAAAGAAAAGGACACCTTCCGAGGAGGATTCAACAGATCTGCAAAACGAGCTAGAGCAGTACGAAGGGTGCAAGGACCAGGAAAAGGTGGTTGCAATGAACCACCCAAGGATATCCCATCCTCTTTGTCCGTATGAATAGAAAAAAGTAAATCCAAAGGTTGACCCAACAACTTTCCTGCTTTCTCAACGGTTTCATCACAGTTTTCAGCATAGACACCCACATGGTCCCCGGTTTCGTATCTGAAAGCAGAAACATTTATACGTGTCTATGAACATAATTACATATTGCAAATATAATTCAGAAAATTCCCAAAATAATGCAATGTTTAACAAGCACAAGATTTTGAAATTACCCAATAAATCATAAGAGCTTACTCTGGGAAAAAATTATGAATAAACATTTAAAAAATGCAAACAAAAGTATCTAATTGATTCTAAAAATGGAAGAGGTTCATAGCAGACAGCTCTAAGGAAGCTATAGGTAAAACTTTAAAGCACAGCTATCATAAAAATATGCTAAAGGTTAAAATCCAATGAGCACCAATAATGATGAGAGTGCAAGATGATAGAGCAACATTGTAATGCCAATTGCTTATTCCACTTCAAGGCATGAACTTTGTGCAACATTAAAAGACAAATATGAATGTTGCAAAAATCACCAGGCACTC